TGTAGTATAATTTACACCATGGATACCAAATTTACATGGGAATGGTGTCTCACAAAGAAGACTAAATGTTAATTTAATATTCCTCAGTAAAAACAAATAGGGTTGCAAGGCAGAAGTAGCAAATCAACACAACAACTACAAAAAGAGGTCCGGAGCAACAAATGGTTATGCTCAGTCCACAGTCAGGAGATTTTAGTTATAAGCCAAAAAAAGGGGCATCCTGCTACATCAGTTTTAACAACGGAAGATTTCTAGCCTATGTGATGGTAACATAATTAGCAAACTTATGCACAAGTGGCATAAAAACCTAATTAAATTAAGAGCCATAAAAGGTGATATAAGATCAATAAGAATCAAAATGCTTCATTTCTTTGTCAGCTTCTATTATTGACAATAATAGCTATCAGAGCCTCTCTCCACTTTTCTAAATCCATCTGTTGTACAAAACTTCACATGCCAGCCTGATAGGAATGATGATCCTGGTACCATGTGATTAGAAATACTTATAAGTACTGCTTTTTCATCGGCAGCCACTAGTCCAAGAAATTTTCAATTGAAGTACTGTTTTTTTATAAGTTACCTAATGTCAAAGATAAGATTTTGCTGCCAACAAATTAACTCAAATTAGAACATGAGAAAAAAGAAATATAATAGAAATCATTGTTCTGCATCTGTTAACTAAATATAATCATATCTCCAACTTTAGAGAGATTTTAGCCACCATGAATGACCAACCCATGCACTTGTCCTCGCCTCCCCCGACTCCCAGTGCACTTCTATTTTCATTTTTCTCCAAGAGTTTCAATACAAGAAAAAAATCTAATGGCAGTACTTAAAACAATAAATTGATTAAGCTAGAGACAGTAAACAACCAAAGTTAGCCTAAAATAAGAATTGTGAGTTATCGACGTTGGTTGGATATTGACGTTTTAATACGATCAAAAGGAGGTGAATATTAGAAACTTATACCTCTTCCATCTCCCTGAGGATTACATCCCTCTCCCTCTCAATGCGCTTCTCATCAAAACACGAGTTCTGAAGTATGTCTGCAAGGATTTCCAGCGCTTTGGGCACATCCTTATCCAACACCTTGGCGTAGTAGGTGGTCTGCTCCCTCGATGTGTAAGCATTCAGATGCCCGCCCATGTTCTCAATCTCTTCCTCCAGCTGTCGCACTGTCCGCGATTCGGTGCCCTTGAAGATCATGTGCTCCAAGAAGTGCGCGGTCCCGTTGGTTCATCGGTCTCGAAGCGGCTCCCGGCGTCGATCCACACGCCGACCGTGGCGGTGCGGGAGTCACGAGTAGAGTCGGTGGCGATGCGGAGCCCATTGGGGAGGGTGGTGACGCGGGTCTCCGGGACGGCCAGGATGGGGGTATGGTCGGCAAGGGTGGGGTGGGGGGAGGCGTAGCGGAGGAAGCGGGGGTCGGGGTCATCGAGGCGCTTGATCTTGGATCGGACGGCCTCGGCGAGGCGATCGTAGAGCATCACGGGGGGTTTGGCCAGGGAGGGAGCGTCGGCGGTGGGGTTTGCGAGGGCGACAACTGCAGAGGTGGAGGCAAATCGGCCGGAGAGGAGGAGGGGGCGGAGGGTGAGAAGCTTGCGCAGCTCCATTGCTCGGGATTGGGTTTGGGAGGGAGAAGGGGAGTGTGGAGAGGGAGGCGGGTCGAATCGTCAAATGTTGTGAGGGAGAAAGGGCAATTAGGTCTGCCGACATGACTCAACAGGAACCCACGTTTACACCAGGCAGGAAAGGTGGACCCAGCTATAATTAATGTCTTGAGGTGCCGGGGTGCACTTCGTTCCCAGTGAGCGTCCGAAATTACAGCGGTAATGGCACACTTTCCTCACTGAATCACCCAGGAGTTTTGTCAAGGGTGATGTGGTTAGTCTTAACACTCGAGACTGAAGGGACCTATGTGCCACTGACTTCATCCGTTGCCGGAAACCTGAAGGGGTTACATGAAACCCTTCTTGGGTACATATTGACTTCCTGTCGTCCCCGACCCTTTGTCCACTCCGCCACAGCCCACATCTCCATCGTCTCTCAGTCCAGATGCCTTCGCACCACCACCGAGAAACTAATCGATGCTGCTGCGGCTGTTCAATCCACTCTTCACCACCACCCCATCTGACCACATCTGATCAACTCCTCCAAGCCCTGGCCAGCCACCTGCTCCTCCAATCCCAGAAACCTCCCACTGTTTCCGACCGTCACTGCCTTAAGCCCCAGCAACACCCACCACCACTGCATTCCTTCTTCCAAATTCATCAACTCGGTGATGATCATCTTCCTCCTGCTCCTCCTCATTATCATCGTCATGAACAGCAGCAGCAGCAGCAGCGGTTCTATCAGTATCAAGCTCAACCTCTTATCGATTCCCTCCTCCGCCGCGTCGCCGCCCTCGAATCCTCTTTCCCCCATCTCTCTCCCACTTCGTCTCCTTCGCCGCCTGTAGATCCGCGCTCTCCGACGAGACCCACATCGATCCCAGATACCTCACCGAGAAAGCCATGGATCTTCTCCTTCGACTGGATGTCATCCATGTGAGTTTGAGGAAAGCTAATTCCTTTCCTGGATTTCTCTTTGCTTGTTGCTTCGTTAATGGGTTTTCTTCGCTTGCAGAGCGGCGACCCGATGGTTCGGGAAGGGAAGCGGTCGATCAGCAGAGAACTGGTCCGCACGTTGGATTTCATCGATAAGTGGGTAGTCAGAGAGCACCAGTTGTCTCTGGACGCGATCGAGATCACTGGGAATCGCGGAATCGAAAGAGATTGAAGTAATGAAGCTCGCTAAGGAAAACAAGGAGTTTAAAAGGTTGAACGAATAGTTGCAAATCCACAAACAACTGTTTATCAGGTGTCGGGCTTAAAAGTATGTTTCCGTCAAGAAAACGTGTGAACTTGTGAAGATTGTTCATTGTCTGACACTATACGGAGGCCTCATCCCCCATTGTCACGAACGGTCGTTGTGCACCCGCAACAACTGATGCGCAATAACTTCGTTCAACGAACCGTTCATCGCTTTTGCATGCTTATACCGAGACATGACAGCATGTTTTGCCTTTGTTTTGTGTGTTTTTGCTTATAAAATGCATGTTCGAACAAGTTTCAACGCTATAGTACGATCGCTCGTCGCGTCGGGTCGAACTGCCCAAAACAACTCTGTTTTACGTGCCACGGCTTGTTTTCTGCAAGCTACGGCTACACGCGAAACGTCAACCATCGCAGCACCTTGGAACCCCCCGGTTGGCACAGGACTGGATGAGGCTTCGGTATATAGTCGGGCGTTAAAAAATCTTCATAAGTTCGCATGTTAACTTGACGGGAACTTGCCTTCATGCTCGGCACCTGGTGAACAGTTGTTTGTGGACTTGTAACTATTCATTCTATCTTCTAAAGTCTTTGTTTTCTCTTTCCTCTCTTTTCTCTCTTACACTCAAGGTGCTTGCTGAATTGCTTGTAAAGCTTCCCTCTCCGCGAGATGTCGAGACTTGTCCGTCGCTTGTTTTCAATCTAATCAACTTTTTGTTTTACAGGTCCTTCGGGACCTGTACAAGGTTGCAACTAGGTTGAACATTTGCGGACGCATATGTCGCATGGGCGCCTCATGACTTAGGCAATCCCAGCTAAGTCTGAGGAGTTGGCGCAAGGGTGCTTCATGAATTAGGCAACTTTAGCTAAGTTCGTGACTTTGTCGCAATGGTGCCTTACGACTTAAGTAATTCTAACTAAGTCCGTGACAATTGTGGTATCAGAGCGGGCAACCAATTTGAGCAAGCAGCGAAGTAACTTTGCAATCTTGCCATGACCAAGCATCGTAGCGAATCGAGCAAGGCAGGGCAAGCCGGACCTTTGCCCCAAGCAGCCATAGGTAGGCTGCAAGTGCAAACTCGCTCTCACGTCGTTGGAGCCGCTTTGGAAGATCGTGGCAGTGAACATGAGAACGAAAAATTGGCTACTCTCTGCGAGCGGAGGAGGCGCAATCTGGAGCGCCAACCGGGAAGAAGAGCTATAAGGAGAGACTCACAACGGCGGAAACCCGCTTGGATGCTCTTGAAGCGAGCTTGGAGGAACTCTATCAAGGCCAACGAAGGCTTCTTGGGGTAGAGAGCTCGCAAGAAGAAGCTGAATCCTGAATCAACAAGGTTGAGGCCCTAGTCGATCGACTGACAGACGATACTAAAGACTTCGTGCAACATTTGCACGAAGTCATGATGGAACTCACTTCTAGAGTGACAGCACTCACAAGGGCACTAAATGCGGGAGGGAGCAACACCCTCGTTGCACCGCCACAAAGCCTGAGGGCACCTGAGCCTCATTGCTATGGAGGTACTAGGGACGCAAAAGAGCTCGAGAATCTCTTGTTTGACATGGAACAGTACTTTCGAGCTACAAGGCTTGATTCTAAAGATACCAAAGTTTCAATAGCAACCATGTATCTGAATGGGGATGCAAAACTTTAGTGGCGAACCCGTTAGGAGGAGATCCAACAAGGTCGATTTCGAGTGGACACATGGGACAACTTAAAGTAGGAGTTGAGAACTCAGTTCCTACCCAAGAACACAGAGTTCGTCGCAAGGAAGAAGTTGTGACAACTCCGCCAAAGTACTTCCATCCGAGATAATGTGAAGCAATTTTCTACGCTAATACTAGACATACATGATATGTCCGAGAAGGATAAGCTGTTCAGCTTCCTCAATGGCCTAAAACCATGGGCTCAACAAGAATTACATCGAAGGAATGTCACCGATATGATCGGGGCAAGTGCGGCCGTAGAAAGGCTCACCGACTTTGTTTCCTTGGAGGACTAAAGGAAAAGGAAACAATCTTCAGGAAATCACCCTCCAAAATATTCTCGATGGAAGGAGCCCGGGGGTGAACAAAGGAAGAAAAGTTCCCACAAAGGGCCAAGCTCAAAAGGCAAAGCCCCAAAACCTAGCGGATGTTTCTTGTGTAGAGGGCCACACATGATGAGGGAGTGCTCACAGAAACAAGCACTCAATGTTTTAACAGTTTTAATCTACCCCCCCAAATCAGTTAAGGGCAAGGTCGTCACCCTAAGTTCAAGCAATTCAAAATCCAGTAGTGACGATGATGAGTCGCAAGGTCCCTAAATGGGAGTAATGCATCGCAGGGTCAAGTGGGGGAGAACATAAAGGCAAAGCCATTGAAAGCAGGGAGTAGCGAGCTGATGTACGTGGACATTAAGCTCAATGGCCAAACAACCCGTGCAATGGTGGACACGAGCGCTACCCACAACTTTATTGTCGATCGAGAAGCAAAGCGACTCGAGCTAATCTTGGAGAAGAACCCAAGTCGGATGAAAGCGGTGAACTCGAAGGCCAAGCGAAACTCCGGGCTGGCAAAGGGTATCCCCATCAAGATCGGAACATGGAGCGGGAGCACGAACATGATAGCGATGCCATTGGACGACTTCTAAGTGATTCTTGGAATGAAGTTTAAGCACGTGGTGAAGTTGGTGCCAATGCCGTTCTTAAACATTTTATGTATAATAGGAGGTGACGAGCCCTATGTGGTTCCTGTTGGGAAATCTTGGGGGCGATATCACATCCGCAGCGGAAGAACAAGAAAACAAAATCCCGGATTCCCAAAGAGATGTTCGTCGTCGTGCGAAGATTGGTGCGCAAAATCCGCGAAACTTAAAACTATGTACATAGTAGATTGTGTTACCTAGGGAGATTGTATATTCGTGTTTCCTTGCAGATCCTTAGGAGAGGGTGAAGGAGGTCAAGCGTCCTCTCTAGCGGTGATCCACACGGCAGGGCTGCGACGACGCTCCTCAAAACTCCAGGCCTGCTCTGAGGTGGAGAGGGGGAGGAGAATAGGATAGGCAAGCAAAGGCTCTAGCCTATGAGACTCTGAATCCCTCCGATTTATAGAGGTCCCTTGTCAAACCTTAATGGGTCCTCCCCTAGTGGGTATTGGATCTGCATCCAATAAGACAAGGGCTCCGTCGGATATCTCATATCCGAACCTCTACTCATCGCAATGCCTATCATATGTGTGTGACCCTCTAGGCCCAATATCGAGCTGGTCGTGTGTAACATCCCATTAGTCCCACATCGGAAGTGGGCAATGTGTATGATTAGCATATAAGGGCCTGATGAGTGTACTACGTAACTCCCGCTTAAGCATTTTGGTCCGTGGTTGAAGGACCAAAATGGAGTTATTGGCCAGTTGGCTCATCAGACTCGGATCGTGACACCGTGAGTCATACCTGTCAGAACTCCTTCTAACTTAGTGAATTATTATCTCTGTAATAATTCACTCGACTCATCGACTACGGACGTACTAGGCCACTACGTCATAGTCCCCAGACGATACAGGGGAATCTAATCCATTGGACCTATCTGTCCTCAGTTACCGTATACATATAGTCCCTCATTCATCTAATAGCCCAGAGACTGTATATCGAGCATGGTGCTATCAGACCCATACGGTTTCTACTCAAGTCTCGCTCTAATCGGATTCTCTCGGAGAACTCTTTCTCTCTCAATCCGAATGACCCTGGCCAGCAATTTTTCTGAGCAAGAACACATGGGATATCAAAGAGTGGAGCACTCGTACAGGACATCCTTGGTGTCTCAAGTCTAAGGACCATATACACCACTAGGACTACGGAATCACTATCTGACAATAAGGCATCATCAACCATCCAGCATCTCGTCGAGAGTGGATGATCCTCTATCGACACTCAATAGCCCTCGTAAGGTCGACTACCACTCCTATAAGTCTGGTATCAAAGAGTGGAGCACTCGTACAGGACATCCTTGGTGTCTCAAGTCTAAGGACCAGATACACCACTAGGACTACGGAATCACTATCTGACAATAAGGCATCATCAACCATCCAGCATCTCGTCGAGAGTGGATGATCCTCTATCGACACTCAATAGCCCTCGTAAGGTCGACTACCACTCCTATAAGTCTGGTATCAAAGAGTGGAGCACTCGTACAGGACATCCTTGGTGTCTCAAGTCTAAGGACCATATACACT